AGATAGATAGATAGATAGATAGATAGATAGATAGATAGATAGATAGAATTCTTTATTGGCCAAGTGTGATTGGACACACAAGAAATTTGACTTGGTGCAAATGCTCTCAGTGTACATAAAAGAAACGATACATTGGTCAAGAGTCATCAGGTTCAATACTTAATAATAGTCATAGGGTACAATAAGCAATCAAATCTATCCATCTATCTGCCATCTATCTCTGTACCTTTCTGTCTATCTGTCTATCCATTATCTAATATATCATTTATCCATCTATCTGCCATCTATCTATGTATCTTTCTGTCTCTCTCTCTCTGTCCATCTATCTAATGCATCATTTATCCATCTATCTGCCAACTATAACTCTATCTATCTGTCTGTCTGTCTGTCTGTCTGTCTATCTATCTATCTATCTATCTATCTATCTATCTATCTATCTATCTATCTATCTATCAAGCCATCCATCCATCCATCCATCCATCCATCCATCCATCCATCCATCTAGAATTAGAATTATTTTTTATTGGCCAAGTGTGATTGGACACACAAGGAATTTGTCTTGGTGCAAATGTTCTCTGTATACATAAAAGAAAAGATACATTCGTCAAGAGTCAAGAATCTTCAGGTACAACACTTAATAAAAGTCATAGGGTACAAATAAGCAATCAAGTCATACTAGGAAAGAGTCCGTATAAATCGTAAGGATACAAGACACAAAGTTACAGTCATACAGTCACAAGTGGGAGAGGATGGATGATAAGGAGTGATGAGAAGATTAACAGTAATAGTAGTGCAGACTTTGTAAATAGTTAGTGTTGAGGGAATTGTTTGTTTAGCAGAGTGATGGCTTTCGGGGGAAAAACTGTCCTTGTGTCCAGTTCTGGTGTGCAGTGCCCTATAGTGTTGTTTTGAAGGTAGGAGTTGAACCATTAAAATTGTTTCTGTTCTTAGTCTGCCAAGGGTGACATCTACCATAATGGATTGTTAACTTTTATTTGTAACTATCAACCTTCCTGATTTTTTGTAACAATCAGGAAGCCGACGACTTAATTCTAATCAACATCGATTCTGGCGATATCGCTCAATCCAAGTCCTCTGAAGAGGAAACCGACATTCCAGATGTCCCAGCAGAAGCAGCCAGGGTTTTTATAACACGGTAAGAATAATCAAGATTATTTTGCTTGCTTCCATGAATAAGGCTCTAAAAAGTCAGAACAAAAGATATGGCTGGATTCAGCAGTGGGCTGGTTTGGTGAACTGACAAATCCCACCCCTGGCTGGTTAAAATGATCAAAGGCCTGGAGACTAAAACATATGAAGAACAGTTGCAGGATTTGGGTTTGGCTAGTCTAGAGAAAAGAAGGACACGATAGCAGTCTTTCAGTATTTGAGGGGCTGCCACAAAGAGGAGGGTGTCAATTTATTTTCCAAAGCACCAGAAAACAAGGCAAGAAACAATGGTGACCGATCAAGGATAGAAGCAACCTGGAATTAAGGAGAAACTTCCTAACAGTGAGAACAATTAACCAGTGGAACAATTTGCTTGCAGAGGTTGTGTGGGTACTCCAATACTGGAGGTTTTTAAGTAGAGACTGGACAACCATTTGACTGAAATGGCATAGGGTTTCCTGCTTGATCAGAGGGCTGGACTAGAAGACCTCCAAAGTCCCTTCCAGCTCTGTTCTGCTTGATTGGCTCCTTGTAACGAGCCATGCTCTTCTTCCTCCAGATCTGAAAACCTTCAGCTGCACTATGACCTTGAACTCTGCCATCTGGGAACCTCCACGTACTTCTTCGAAATACAAGGCCGACGGAGAACTTGGCAACACAAGCTGAATTCTGAAATTCAACAGATTACTCTGCAGTTAATCGTCAATATCTTTAGGTGGGTGTCCAAAAGATTTCCTTCCAGAGCCCATTAGCTCTTCCCTCCGCCTTCAGGTACCATCACCTGTTCAAAATGTGAAACCCTTTAAATGAAGGGATAAGCGAGCCTGCTCCCTTTGCGCCTCGAGAGACAATTCTGGTGTCAATTCATAAAACATTTTCTATGCCCGTTTTATAGTTGCCAACCGAAAGTGAGGGGGGAAAGGAGTTTGAAAGAGCCATGCAGCAGTTTAGAAGCGAACCTTGCAAAAATTATACTAACTGACTGGAGTTTCTGGTGCTCAAAACTCCAATTGGAGACCCAGTGTCAACTCATAAAATTATTTCTCCGGTCTTTTTAGAGTTGCCAACAGGAAGGGAGGAGAGGGAGCAGTGCAGCAGCTTGCTAAACCGAAACTGCATTCCATAAATGTTTTTAAAGATAGTAACTAGGTGACTGAAGTTTCTGCTGTGCAAAATTCTAACTGGAGAGCATGATTGAGGACTCTTGTCTATGGATGTGTCCCATTGGAGAATATGAATTACGATACACCCAGGGGGTGGGGGAAAACCAGGGTCAAAGGTGACAATGAACGATGTGCCTCAGAGTCGGCTACACCCAGGCAGTTCTGGCATGTTAACTCCCAATAAATCCTTTTGAAGATTTGGAAGTTTGGCTCGAGACTCATGATTTAACTGCCAGAATCCTGACACCCAGATTGATGACTCTTGGCTACGGACATGTTTCGTTGGAGAATATGAATTATGATAAACCCAAAGGGGTGGGGGAAAACCAGGCTCAAGGGTGACAGTGAATTGCGTGTCTCAGAATCGGCTACCAATATGTTTCTCCTAATGAATTCTTTGAAGCTTTTTGAAGTTTGGCTCAAGGCTCATGATTTCATTAGGGCGATTGCTGGAATCCTGACATCTGGGTGGATTCATTTGATGATCCGTGGGTTTACACCGAGCGTTAATTCTTGTAATCCCACTTTTATCAACAGGGAGGTGAAAGACCATTTGAACTATGAACACCGAGTATTTAACAGTGAAGAATTCTTAAAGACAAGAGCAATAAACGATCAGCCTTTTTACAGAAAGGTAAGGTGGAGCTTGACATAAATTGTTCCATTAGTTCATGTTGTAATTTTTTAAAAAAACCCCACAAATGTTTATTTGACCTGTAGTTTTATATAATTTATATTTATATAGTTTTATATCATTTTATATAATTTGACCTTTTGAAGAAAGTATGCCTATCCAAACATTTTTGGATGATCTTGTTTCTGCCAATATATTCGTTAAACTTACTGAAGTCGTTCGTCTGAAATATGCATAACTACAGAATTAACTTTTATAATATACTATTGGATATATTGGATTACTTAGGTGCCATCAAGTTGTTGTTGACTCTTAATGACCTCATAGAATGTAAGAATATAACACAGAAACGGCTGCTGTAGCAGTCCTACTTTAAGTATGCAATAATATAGTTTAAAGGAGAAAAGTCTGCGTAGAGATTCTCAGTCATCCAGGTCATGGTTGTCGCAAAGGTGCTTTTTCAGGAGGCAAGTGAACTTTTTGGTTTTTCTTTTGAAGACCTTTCACTCCTCATCCAAGAAGCTTCTTCAGCTCTAATAGGATAGTGAGGAATGGAAGGATTTATATTCCTTGCAGACAGCTGGTCATTTGCATTCTTTTAGGGAGTCGTTGAGGCCACCTGGAGGTTTCTGGTGGTGTTCCTGGTTCCTGTAGTCTGCAATTTTTCCCTCTCTGGAAATCCACTCCTACTCCCACACCACTCCAAGGGTGTTAATCCCAAATTGTATAGCTTAAAGGAGAAACTTCTGTAATGTTTGCTCTCCACGATAATCTCGCACAGTGGAGATACAGATAGTCTTTGACTTATGACCACAATTGAGCCCAAAACTTCTGTTGTTAAGCAAGACACTTGTTAAGTGAATTTTGCCCCATTTGATGACCTTTTCCTGCCGCACCCGTTACGTGAAACACTGCAGTTGTTAAATTAGGAACATCATTACTAGGTGAATCTGGCTTTCCCCGTTGACTTTGCTTTTCAGAGGGTCCCAAAAGGGGATCACATGGGATCTCCAACCGTCATAAATATGAACCAATCGCCAAGTGGCCCAATTTTGATCACGTGCCCCTAGGGAGGCTGCAATGGTCGCGAGTAGGAAAAATGGTCCAAAGTCACTTTTTTCAATGCCACTGTAACTTCGAACAGTCAATAAAATGAATGGCTGTAAGTTAAGGACTACCTGTGCGGTGGGTAATGTCTTCTCTTGTGTTTGTGCAGGTGCTAGAAACGTATATGTTCCACTCTTTTCTCAAAGCCCGCCTTAACGGAAGGATGGATGCTTTTGCCTACCTAGAGCAAAGCACCCAGAATGAAGAAGACAGGTAAACGTTATATCACTTGCTTTGCAAACAACACGAGGTGGTGGGGGAAGGGGGGAAAAGGGCGAAGGGGGGGAACTTGCCCCAGGCACTCCACGCGCCTCGTTTGGCCACCGGGCTGCTTCTTTCGCTTCTTTCTTCCTCTGCTTTTGGCTGCACGCAAGGAAACCAGCAAAAGTCTTTCTTTCTCTCCCCCCAAACTCCACCAGAAATGAGTCTTTGGGACCTTGCAAGGCCTCCTGCTCCAAGAGGCTGCGTCAGCAAAGACTCATTTCTGGCGGCATTTGGGGGAGAGAAAGAAAGACTTCTGCTGCTTTCCTTGCATGAAGCCAAAAGTCTCTCTCTCTCTTTCTCCCCCTGAGAGCAGAGCTGAAGACCAGTATCCTGCGATCCCAAATAAAGAATGATCGATCGGTGGGAAAACGGGGTGGGGGATTTTCCTGCAGACTTTTTGGGGGATTTTTCCCAGGGTCTCTGGTCCGCGGGATTTAAAATTATGAGTTTGGTAGTTCCTGAGGTCCAAAAGTTAGGGCTAGGGCTCTCTACCTTGGAAGAGTGAGGAAGATTCTCAGGGATGAGTCGTATCCTGGTCAGCACTTCTTTATCCTCCTACCCTCGGGTAGGAGATGTAGAAGCACAGCCAGCTGCATCAACAGGCTGAAGAACAGTTTCTACCCGTGGGCTGTCAGACTTCTGAACGGAAAATAACTTGCATGTCAACACAGTAGAATAGATTTGTGGAGCCGGTGCGTTGTGCAACAAGATCACGTAGTGTAAAAAGTTTGGGTCTGGGCTAGGGACTTCTGTCCTCACTGTGAGTTGTGTGCACGAAGGGAGGCTCAGCCAATCTCATTGTACACATATATTCTGACAATAAAGGTAATAAAATAATGTTGCGTTTTATTTGTATGTGTATATACAAGTAGTCCTTGACTTATGGCCCCAGTTGAGCCCCAACATTTCTGTTGCTAAGTGAGACATTTGTTAAGTGAGTTTTGCCCTGTTTTACGACCTTCCATGCCACAGTTGTTAAGAGAATCACTGCAGAAGTTGTGGGTGCTCCATCAGTGGAGGTTTTCAAGAAGAGATTGGAAAGCTATTTGTCTGGACTGCTACAGGATCTCCTACTTGAGCAGAGGGTTGGACTAGAAGATCTCCAAGGTCCCTTCCAACTCTATTCTGTGTTCTAAAATTCTAAGCTATTCAATTAGGGTCGTTAAACGAAATTGGCTTTTCCATTTTGTTCGTCAGAAGGTTCCCAACAGGTGATCACACCATCATAAATGCGAGTCAGTGGCCAAGCCTCTGAATTCTCATCACGCGGCCATGGGGAGGACGGGATGGTGCAACGGTCATAAGTGTGAAAAAAAACATTCCTAAGTCCCTTTTTTTTCAGTGCTGCTGTAACTCCGGTCCCTAAACGAGCCGTTGTAAGCTGAGGACCCACTGTTGTTGCTTCCTTTAGATTCAACTTCCTGGTTGGTAACCCGAGAAGGCAGACAATGGAGAAAATGATTTCTAAAAGGTTTAATCCTCAGTACATGCTCAGCAGGCGCATGGGGATGAGCCTTCCTGATCTGCACAACATTAAGCCGAGCGACGGCCCGATGAGGAATTTATCCCTTCGAAGTGTAGACGTCACACAAGGTAAGACGAAGAAACTTCCTCCCAAGCTGCCATTGCTGCTTGGCTTAATCTGAGTGGGAAACCTTAGCATGGGTGGATGGATGCATGTTGTGAGTTAGCCAACAAGCAGAGAACGCTCAAATCATTTGAAATACACCGTAAAACCACAGAGAAGAGCTAGAGCCAAGTGATTTGCCAAGTGGGGAGAAGAAGAGAAGAAGGAGGAAGAGGAGGAGGAGAGATACGAGTAGAGGAGGGAGGAGGAGGAGAAGGAAGACGGCGGGGTCCTTGGTGTTCTCTGAGCTTGGTGGTTTTCTTGCAGGTGTTTCATTACCCAGAATAGATGTCATGCCCCTGTTGGAGTCTGACTCTTGAGGGAGAGGAGGAACAGCCTACAGGGAGTGGAACTGTGGCTCTGGAGATTGTGGAGGAAACTGGGGAAGGGTACAGGCCAGCTGGGCAGCCAGAGGAAGACCCAGGCCCATCCCCTCTTCATCCAAGGGCAGGCAGGGAGGAGACGATAAGGGAGAAACATGAATGGTGTGGTCTATGAGGGAGGAAAGGGCCTTGATCCCCTTCATGGGCTGCAGCTATGAGGACTGTTTTAAAAGGACGGACTGCGCATGGGCCAGTGCTGGAAACAACGCATGAAAATATGCCTAGTCTGTCCGTTCTCATCTGAGTTCTGGTGTCCTTCCCAGTGTGTGTATTTTGATATCTATGGACGTTTTCAAGCCCTTATCCTGCCTTGTCCCAGTAATTGCTTCAGTGTGGTTTTGTATCTCACCCTGGGTCATCACACTAGGTAACATCGTCAGTGCTAGAAGGAAGTGAGGATTTGCCAGGTGGGGAGAAGAAGAGGAGGAGGAGGAAGAAAGGTAGAGGAGAGGAGGAGGAGGAAGAGGAAGACTGTTGGGTTCCTTGGTGTTCTCTGAGCTTGGTGGTTTTCTTGGAGACGTTTGATTACCCAAACTAAGTTAACCTCATAATGTGAAACGTCTGTAAAAAAACAAACAAACCACCAAGGACTCTTCACTTTTTGATTTAGTCCTGCCCATCAGTCTGTGATCTCTTCGCGGAGGAGAAATATGTAGAAGTTCAAAATGAATTCAGAACATTAACGAGAACCCTTGGCGCCTTTTTTTTGGCAACTCTTGTCAAGTCACTTTTGTCACTTTCTTCTCCTTTTTTTCCTAGCGAAAAGATCGATTTCGAAACCCATCAGCACTTTCAAGATCCCAGATATCCATTTCCCACTGCTGGGTCAGAGCGTCCAGTCCTATTACGTCGACTTCGGTAACCATCTCAGCAGAGCCATCCACGTTTTGTCCCCGGAGAACTCTGCGCTCCTTGCGAGGTATTTCTACCTTCGGGGACTTGTCAACCTGATGCAAAGAAAATTCCTCAATGCGCTTTCGGATTTCCAAAACCTGTACAAGACGGACATCCGGATATTCCCTACAGACCTTGTGAGAAAAATGATCGAGAATCTCCCACCCCTGGATCGCTCTCAGGCAGATCAGAAACCTGAACTGAAGAGGTTGATCAGTCACCTGCTGGATAAACAGCGAGAGGTCACTAAAACCGATGACCACGTGAAGAAATTTGAGTTGCCAAAAACTCACATGCAGGTGAACGACTTTGTGAAGCGTATCCAGGAATCTGGGATTGTCAAAGATACAGACACGATCCATCGGTTGTTCGATGCATTAACCGTAGGTAAGGGGCGAAAACCAAAGAAAAATGGTTAGAAACTTTGTGAGAATTCCCAAAGGTGTTTATTTTTTTTTCCCAAGAGGCAATCGGACTTTCTGGTTTTTCTTTGAAGACGCTTCACTTTTCATCCCAGAAGCTTCTTCAGCTCTGACTGGATAGTGGGGAATGGCAGGATTTATACTCCTTGCAGACAGCTGGTCATTTGCATCCTTTTAGAGGGTCGTTGAGGCCACTTGGAGGTTTAATCTGTGTCCTCAGGGTCACCTGAATGATGCAAGTAGGCGTGGAGCCTTCTTGGAACGGTTGAAAAAGGACTGTGTTGTAGATTGGAGATAGACGATCAATTCTGACATAGATGGCCTCTTCGGCCCCTCTTTCAAACCAGCAATCTCCTCTGTCCAAAATATGGACTTTGTTGTCTTCAAAAGAGTGGACTTTGTCTTTTAAATGGGTTGTTGAATCTAGTCGTGATGTGTTTGTTCTCCTATGTTGTGCCATGTGTTTATGAAGTGATCCAGATAAAATGGTCCAGCGGGTTGTTAAGGTCACCTCCAGGTGACTTTAACCATCTGCTAAAAGGATGCAAATGACCAACAGTTTGCAAGGAATATAAACCCTTCCATTCCCCACCATCCAGTCAGAGCTGAAGAAGCTTCTTTGGATGAGAAGCGAAATGTCTTCAAAGAATAACCAGAAAGTCCATGTCAGGATTCCGGCAGTTACTCCAATTAAATCATGAGCCTCAAGCCACACTCCCAAAACTAAAAAAAAGATTTACTTGAAGTTAACATTCTACGTCCGGCATTTGCCTGGGCATAGTCAACTCTGAGATACATAATTCACTGTCACCCTTGATCCTGCCTCCGCCCCACACTCCCCGGGTGTATCATCCAACGAAAACCATCCATAGCCAAGAGTCATCAATCATGTTCTCCAATTAGATTTTTGCACAGCGGAAGCTTCAGTCATCTAATCAGTGTTTGAAGAAAATATGAATGGAATGTACTTTCGATTCCATTCTGCCATCTGCTGTTTGAAACTCCCCTACCCCCCCTTCTTTCTATTGTCAACTGTAAAGCGTGTGTACAAAATGTTTTATGAGTTGACAGTCCAGTTGACTCCTGAAAAAAAAAGACCTTTTGGACAACCATGACCTGGACGACTGGAGAATCTCCATAGACGCTTCGTGAGCATTCTTTTTCCAGCTCTTTGTTCTTCTGTCATGAGTATAGACAAATGTTTGTGCAATCCTTCTTTAAAACCTCCAGTGTTGGAGCACCCACAACTTCTGAGGGCAAGCCGTTCTGCTGGTTTATTGTTCCCACTGTTAGGAAATATCTCCTTAGTTCTTGATTGCTTCTCTCCTTGATTAATTTCCATCCATTGCTTCCTTCTTGTCCTGCCTTCAGGTGCTTTGGAGAATAGCACCTGGACAAAAACGCAGGTCGTCCCCGAGATAACGACTATCATGAAGTTTGATCATTACCGTCATATGCCATGACAGTTGTAAATTGGATGAGTCTCATCGCCAATCCAATTTTACAACCTGTTTTTTTGGCACTGGCTGTAAAGCAAACTCAACAATCATTAAATGAATGCCCTGGAATTCCAGGCGTAAAGGCACGGCAATAACTCAACATGGTTGGGAGGATGTCAGGAACGCAGAACCAAAGTACACACAAGATAAACTCACGTTTGCTCCCAAGCAGATGCCGCAGTCAGCTTGGATCTCATTTAAACTCCCTCCCCAGCTGTGGCTAATTAAGGGAATCAGGGCCCTTTCCTCTCCCGTAAGCCATGCGACACACTTTATTCTCTTCTCCGTTCCTCCCTGTGTGCCCTAGGATGAAGAGGGGGTGGGCCTGGGTCTTCCTCTGAACTCCCTCTCCCTTGTTCTACCTCTCCCCTCTTCTGCCCAGACAGACTTTGCCCTTCCCCAGTTTCCTCCACAGCCAACGGAGCCACATTCCCACTCCCTGTCAGCTGTTCCATCTTCCTCCTCGGATTCAGACTCCGACAGGGACATGACAGGAAGGAAGGAAGGGGAAGTAAGGAAGAGCGATAACACTTAGACTTATATATCCCTTCACAGTGCTTTCCAGCCCTCTCTAAGCAGTTTAGGGAATCAGCATAACTGGCCCCAACAATCTGGGTCCTCATTTGACCCACATTGCAAGGATGGAAAGCTGAGTCAACCAGTCAGGATTGAACTGCTGACAGTGAGCCGAGTTAGCCAAGTTAGCCTGCGATGCTGCATTCTAACCACTGCGCCACCACCAGGGCTCTGATTAAAGGTAGATCAAAAGAACAACTTTTAGAAGGTTATTCTTCGCAAGCGTCAGAAACCCTAACCCTTAACCCGTTGTTTGCCAGGGCGCAGTTTTGCAGGAAACCGGTTGTAACTTCCAGGTTTTGCCCCAAATGTGACCACGCGATGCCCCAAACGGTTAGAAATGCTATTGCCAAGGGACCCAGGAGAAGTCACGCAATCGTAGGAAGCAACCATTGGAGTTGAGTCCTAGCTCCCCTTTTTCAGGCAGGTCATAACTTTGAATGCTCATCAAGCAAACAGTCGTAAATCAAGGACTACCTCTACAGGTAGTCCTCAACTTACAACAGTTCATTTATTGAGCCTTCAAAGTTAGAAAAGCACTGGAAAAAACGTGATTAGACCATTTTTCACACAACCGTTTCAGCACCCCCACAGTGAGGTGATCATAATTCAGGTGCTTGGTGACAGATTCATATTTATGACGGTCACAGTGTCCCAGGGGGGTGTCAGTTGATCCCCTTTTGCATCTCAACATACAAGCTTCTGATTAGCAAAGTCCATGGGGAAGCCATAAGTCAAGGACTGCCTGTAGTAAATAGCCTGATTTTTTTGTCTTTCTTTGGCCGATTTTTAATTGGGGGTTCAATGTTGCTTGTATGTTGAGAAACCCTCGAATGCAGAGTATCCGAGTGCCCCTTAAAATTTCGCCACATAGACTGGTGAAAAGATCTGAAGTTATAATTTGGACCAGAACCAGTCAGGGTCTTTTTAAGTCCTAACATCTCTGGTCGTGCTGTTAGAATGGTGGATATAAAACATTGAGATGTCTGTGTTTCTGCCTGCCTGCCTGCCTGCCTGCCTGCCTGCCTGCCTGCCTATCTATCTATCTATCTATCTATCTATCTATCTATCTATCATCTATCTATCTATCTATCTATCTATCTACCTACCTACCTACCTACCTACCTACCTACCTACCTATCTCCTATCATTCATCCACCCATCTCTCTTTTTGTAACGTTTGATGTACAGGAGATCCACAAACGTTCATTATGATAAAACATTTTCTTAATTTTTAAGGGCAGCAAAAACAAATCGACCCGGAAACCTTTAAAGACTTTTATACCTACTGGAAGGAAACAGAAGCAGAAGCTCAGGATGTCAACCTGCCGCCGAGCGTCCTAGAACACCTGGACAAAAACGAGTGTGTTTACAAGTTGTCCAACTCCATCAAAACCAACAAAGGAGTCGGCAAAATCGCACTGACGCCGAAACGCCTGTTTCTGTTGATGGAAGGAGCTTGTCCCGGCTATCAAGATATTGCCACATTCAGAGATATAGAGGTGAGCCCAACAAAAAGCACAGGTTGCGTTCTATTTAACGACCATGTTGTGACCGTTCAGAGTTCTAACAGCCCCAGTGGGGGAAAAAAAATCAGATTTATGACCGTTTTCACACTCACGAGCCTTGCAGCATCCTCATGGTCATGTCATCAAAATTCAGATGTTTGGCAACTGGTTCGAACTTAACAACGGTCGCCGTGCTCCCTGGGGTAACGTAACTCCTTTTGCGACCTTCTGACCAGCCAGATTCACTTAACGATGGTATTACTGACTTAACAGTGATTCTATCAGGGCTCCGGCACCCACCCCATTTAAATCATGAGTCTCTAGCCACATCTCTCAAGATGTTTAAAGAAGATTTATTAGGGGTGAACATGCTACCTGGGTGTAGCCAACTCTGAGATACATCATTCATTTCCCCCTTGACCCTGGTCATTCCTCACCCGCTGGATGTATATTCTCCAATGGGACAAATCCATAGCCAAGAGTCATCAATCATGCTCTTCAGTAATAATCTTGCGTGCCAGAAGCTTCGGTCACCTAGAAATTATCTAAGGAATGCACTGCTTCCTCTACTCCCTTTCTGCTGGCAACTCTTAAGAGACCAGAGAAATATTTTTGAGTTGGCAGATTCACTCAACTGCCGTGGCAAGAAAGTTGGTAAAATGGGGTGAAATTCACTTAACAACTGTCTTGCTTAGCAACAGAAATTTGGGGCACAATTACAGTTGTAATTGGAGGACTGCCTATAGTCAATACCCTGGTCTTTTTCTTTTTCATTGGCTGATTTTTTTTTCCTTCCGGAGTCTTTCCATTGGAGCACCAACAACGACGGGTCTGAAGGAAACTTGACTTGAAACGCGCCTTTGATCTTGGCTTAAACATGGAGACATCCACAATTCCAATTAAAACTTTTTTATTAGTTTATCCAAGTATAAAATACAAAGGAAAAAAAAACAAGGAAGAGTAAGAAGAGAGGAAGGGAAAAAGAGGGAGTATAATGTAATGGGGAAAAATAAAGGAAAAAGACACATTACATTACAACTACAACTTTTTTGCTCTTACACAGCAATATGTACAAGCCATTTGTATAATAATAAGCCTGTCTTAATTTACAAACACAGAATCAAAGTTTCTTTTTTTTTTCCCCTTGTCTCATTGCAAACACAAAATCCACGATTCCAAATGGTGCTTTAGGGGACTTTTATCTCCTCCTTGTTGTTATTGCAAATTGTGTTTTCACCCTGCAGCAGAAAGAGGTTTCCATCACCTGGGTTCAGTTCCCTGTGGCTGGTCATCAAAACAGTAGCCTATGCTCCATATAGTGCGGTCCACTATGCCACGGGACTGTGTGACCAGGGGGATGCTACTACAATGGTCATAAGTGTGAAAAACAGTCCTCAATCACTTTTTTCAGGGCTGTTGTAACTTTGAATGTTCACTGTGATGACCCAGGGCACAAAGGCAACAGAGTCAGATAATCTCCAACTTAGCTCCAACTTTGCCCCCAATGTCCTGGTTACTTTCTGAGCTGGAGAAAAACTCTCCCAGGAACAGCCTTTGGGCTGAAGAGAATCAAGTCCAAAACGTGGTCAACAAAAACTTTATAAGTCCAATCAAGGCAAGATGAGGTAATTAATCTGGCAGGGCAAGAAGATAAGGAATTCCAGAAGTAAAGGAATAGCAGTAAATCAACCCAGTTGGGAGGATGCCAGGAACTCAGATAACTACAGTCAACACAAGATAAACTCATGTTTGTTCCCAGCAGACACCGCACTCAGCTAGCATCTCTTTATGAAGGGAATCAAGGCCCTTTCCTCCCCCATAAGCCACGCAACCCACATTGCTCTCTTCTCCGTTCTTCCTTGTGTGACCTAGGATGAAGAGGGGGGGTGGGCCTGGGTCTTCCTTTGAACTCCCTCTCCCTTGTTCTACCTCTCCCCTGCTCTGCCCAGCCTGACTTTGCCCTTCCCCAGTTTCCTCCACAGCCAACGGAGCCTCACTCCCACTCCCTGTCGGCTGTTCGTCTTCCTCCTTGGATTCAGACTCTGAAAGGGGCATGACAGATCACTAAATGAATGGTTGTAAGTTGAGGAATACCTGTATACTGACATGCCTGAGCAAAACAGGATGTATCCCACCAAGAAAGGAAGGAGGAAGGTTGTTAGGGATACACCCTAGCAGTATCTGCACGGCAGGCAGGCAAAATATGTGAGATAAACGTTTTTGTAGCTTACACTCAGTAAAAACAGATACAATGTGCCAGTTAAATAGTTTATTCCAGTAAGAGTTATAGCATAGTCATACAGTCCATATATCATTCACTAGTTCAGTCCGTCCGGGGATTATTCAGTTGCAAAGTCCAGTGTCGAAAAAGTGGTCAGTAAACTTACAAATATCAGTCCAGTAATATATCTTCTCGCAATAGAGATATGAAGAAGTCAAACCTCCTTTCTCCCTTCAGCAACTCAGTAGTAGGGAAAACACGCAGTTAACAAACCATCAATTCATCAAACCAGCAATCGTCAGGTTCTCTTGCTCCCTCTTATGGCGGTTTCACACCGCACCCAAAATTACATGCTTTGCAGTTTAAAATGACACACATTTAAACTTACTATCATAGTTTATATATATTATTTTACCCAAACTACGTTAGGTAACCTTGTTATTCCTAACAAAGATAGAACGTAGAATAACTTTATTGTTACTTTGAATATACACTGATCGGCATACATTAAAACGAAATTTCATCATATGCAGCTCTCAGAGGAGTGTCACCACCTCCAATATATGCTATACAATCATGATAGAATAAATAAATACATAAATAAAAATATGCATATACCCACATATATTATGTGACACAGAGAAACAACACAGTCTAGTTTGGATGTTATATGTGTCCATGGCGAGAAAAACGAATCTTGCAAGTTTACCAGACGGATGGCCTAGGGAACAAAACCGTTACAGTATCTGGTAGTTAGTCCTGTTAGAAATACGTTGAAACCTTCTCCCAGAGGGGAGCAACAGAAACAGACCATAAAGTAGGTGTGTGGGGTCTCTAACAATGCTAAGCACATAGCGTTTACAGGCAGCATCCTGAATAATGGGAAGCGAGCTTCCTATACTCTTCTCCACTGTCCTCACCACTCTCTGTAGGGGCTTTCTATTTGCTGCCACCAAACCAAACAGGGATGCAGTTTGTTAAATGGCTCTCGATCGGGCCTCTGTAAAAAGTGGCCGGGACAGAAGATCCGGAGAAAGAACAGATTTTCCCAATCCGGAGAAAGAGTAGATTTTTTTAACACTGAAAAATACACAACAGGACACTGTGGGCCTCCCGGATGTATTAGACCAAAGTCCTCTGGGCTGGGGCTCCTGACATTGATAGCAAAAAAAAAAAAAAAACAGAACCCAATTACCTTCTCTGCTCCATGAGATCTTGGGGGAGGAAGGGGCCATGAGAAAAGATGAAAACAGAACCGTGTGTGTTGCCTTATTGTGGCTCTGAGCCCTTCCTTTTCTACATTCCCCCTGCAGGAAGTGAGAAATACCACCGTCACTTTTCTTCTCCTCAAGATTCCCACCTTGAAGATAAGAGTCAAGTACAAAAAGGACGTTTTTGAAGCAAATCTGAAGTCCGAGTGCGACCTTTGGCACTTGATGGTGAAAGAGATGTGCGCTGGGAAGAAAATGGCAGATGATCACAAGGTTCGGACGTTGCGTGGGTTAATAAATAACGCGGGCCCATTTTTTTACAATCTTTCACCTTCTCTGATTCCTATTTCATGTGACTTTGCCAGATGGCAAGATTAATAATTGAGCAAGTAAGGCGACCATCATCCAAGCTTCCATATTAATGAAGCTTAACATCTTCTCTGCTTCCAATTTGTTGGAAGCTTCGTCTCTTCAGTTCTTCTGACTTTTTCTTACTTGCAGCATTCGTGTTCCTTGGTTTGACTTTATTGTGACCCACTACAAGTAACATCTGGGACTTCAAGTAACATCTAGTAACAATACAATATAAGTAACACAACAATTAACTTCAGGGACGCAGTGGCTCAGTGGTTAAGATGCTGAGCTTGTCGATCAGAAAGGTTGGCAGTTCGAATCCCTAGCGCCGCATAACAGAGTGAGCTCCTGTTACTTCTCCCAGCTTCTGCAAACCTTGCAGTTCGCAAATATGTTAAAAATGCAAGTAGAAAAATAGGGACCACTTTGGTGGGAAGGTAACAGCGTTCCGTGCGCCTTCGGCGTTTAGTCATGCCGGCCACATGACCACGGAGACGTCTTTGGCTTGCCCTTGGAAGTTGTGGGAGCGCCATCACTTGAGACCCTTCAAGAAGAGATTGGACTGCCAGAAATGGTGTCGGGTTTCCCACTTGGGCGGTGGGTTGGACTAGATAACCTATAAGGTCTCTTCCAACTCTGATTATCTGTTATTATCTGTTATTATTATCTTTGGACAGCTCTGGCTCTTTGGCTTTGTACCGGAGATGAGCACCGCCCTCTAGAGCCAGAAACGACTAGCATGTATGTGCGAAGGGAACCTTTATGTTTATCTTACAAGTAACATCGGAACTATAACGTGACAAAAATGGCTTTGGAGGTGAATAATGCTCCAGAGATTTAGCAAACAATGGAAGGACATCAAGAGTAGAGTAGATAGTTTCTAGCTGTTTGAATTTCCAAACTATTTCCAAAGGATGTTATTTAAAGATGCCAAGGATTACATTTCCCTGGATTTATTTCAAACATCTCCTCTTCCTTGATTAACCAATTATATTGTTTTGTCTTTAAGGATCCCAAGAATTTCAGAATAAAAGAGTTGGAAGGGAGGTCTTGTAGTTCAACCCTCCCCACACGGATTTTAATTGAATTTGTCTGTTCCAAGACCCCAAACTTGGACTTCTTCTGCCCAAGAATGCAGAGTCCTAGTTTTAAGGAGTAAAATCCGCAATTCCACATTCATATTTGGATTTGTGATGTACAGAATAATCTATGTTAAGAGGCCCAGAACTTCATACACGATTCCCACAGTATACATTGGGGAAAATTCACATGGACTCTCATGTGCATAGTACGTGCAGGTTGCAGTCAGGGTTTTGTTCATCTGGTTGTTCATCTCAACATCCCATCTCTTCCCTTTCAGGATCCACAGTACCTTCAACAAGCCCTCACCAACGTTCTTCTGATGGACGCAGTAGTGGGTTCTCTGCAGTCCTCCAAAATAATCTATGCAGCTTCGAAGCTGTCTTACTTTGACAGGATGAAGAACGAAGGTGAGTTGAAGGGTCGTTTACAGTAAATAATACCCTTCCCACTATCGTCTTTTAATGACCCCATAATCTCTTGTGGGATGGGATCTTGAGCCACTGAATGGAGCTGAGTGTTTACTGACCCGATGCCCTTCCTGTCACCAATGCAGAGTTATATTCAGCAGATATAATCTCAGCGTGCCCAGAGAGATAACATATCTGCCTTTACCTAGGATCGAACTTACAGCCTCCTGATTGTGAGGCGAGAGGTTTCACCTCTAGGCCACCACACCACTCTGTTGATAATACTATTTTGGTAGTGTGAATTGTGTGGCCTCCTTTACACTCTTGTGTTGGATGGTAGCCCAAGTGCAGAGTTGCAAGTGACCATAATTATCTTCTACCGTTTTTCCCCGAAAATAGGACTGTATCTTTTTTTTTTTTTTTTGTCACCAAAAAAGGCACCAGGTCTTATTTTAAGGGGATGTCATCCACTAACCTCACTTGCGTGCGTCGTCCTTTTTCGCTGTCAGAGGCCTTCAGAAACTTCTTCTTCTGTGGCCAGCAGGACTTTCCTGAAGGCCTCTGCAGCTGATAACAGAGCTTCGGATCGATCCAGAGCTTTGTTATCAGCCATAGAGGCCTTCAAAAAAAACTTGCCAGCCTTGCTGGCTGCAGAAGAAGTGGGCCGGCAAGGCAGGTGTTGGGGTGTGCGAGGCCTGGCTACAACTATCCAAGGGTAAGTAGCACCCCCTCATCCGGACTCTAGCTTAATTTTTACCCATGCACTCTGGAGTGGGCAGGATCTCAATAAGGGCTTATTTTGAGGATAGGGCTTATATTGGGCACGTGAAAAAAAAAAAGTCAAGCCAGGACTTACTTTTGGGATAGGTCATATTTTGAGGGGAACAGGGTAGCTATGAAGGATACCAAGAATTGCTATAGATCACTCATATATGGCTTTCTCCATGGAAAGCTTGCCTTTCCTCCCTGACCTGTCTTCTATCTCTAAGTTTTTCCTTTTGGCCCTATAACTACCTTTAAACATGCATGTCTTCTATTTGTCCAGTGCCCATGATGGTCCCCAAAACCACGTCTGAAACACTAAAGCACAAGATCAACCCATCGGCGGGTGAAACCTTCCCACAAGCAGTGGAAGTCTTGCTGTATACACCAGGTATGGGATTGAACGTGGTCTCACTTCATGACGCTGCCTGCCCGGCTCCCTACATTCATTAAAATAGGGGATACAATGGTCTTTCAACAACGGTCCCAGGTGCTGACGTAGTCAAAAGACACGGCTAAACTCATCCAGCTTCATGACTCAGGGACATTGAGCCGTTGCTTTTCCCTGAAAGCCAATGTTGAGTGTTGTGGGAATTTTTCGGAATCCAAGATCTATCCGTCAACTCGTAAAATATTTCTATGGTCTTTTTAGAGTTGCCAACAGAAAGGGGAGGGGAAAGGGTTTGAAAAAGCAGTGCGGCGGCTTGGAAATCGAAAGGGCATTCCATAAATAGTTTTTCAAAGATAGTAACTAGGGGACTGAAGTTTCTGCCGTGCAAAATTCTAACTGGAGAGCGTGATTGATGACTCTTGGCTATGGATGTGTCCCATTGGATAATATGAATTATGATACCCCTGGGGGGAAAACTAGGGTCAAGGGTGACAATGAATGATGCGCCTCAGAGTTTGACTACACCAAGGCAGTGCCAGGCATGTTAACTCCCAATAAATCCCTTTGGAAGTTTTGGAAGTTTGCTTTGAGACCCATGACTTAATTAGGGGTAACTGCCGGAATCCTGACATTATCTTTATAAACATGAAAAGGTGTTCAGCAAATGACATCATAATGAAGGAGTAGAGAAAAGTTCTCCAAAGTCTGTAGAGATTCTTTGTCATCCAGGTCATGTGTTGTCTCAAAAGTGCTTTTTCAGGAGGCAACTGGACTTTCTTGTTTTTTCTTTGAAGACGTTTTGCTTCTCATCCAAGGAGCTTCTTCAGCTCTGACTGGATGGTGGAGAAGAGAAGGATTGATACTTCTTCAGACATGATATTCTTCCGATTAAAATCGGAATTCTGATTTTTGGGGGAATCGGCCCCCCCTTCTCCTCCTTCCCCTCCCCTCGGAGGCCCCCTGAGTCAGGAGGGGGGGTCTGTGCGGCTCCTGTCCCGCGTTGCCTCGGGAAGGGAAAGGCAAAAAGGAAGAGCCACGGCGGTGCTTTGCAATGGCAGCAGCGGCACCCGAGCAGACCAGCTGTCTCTCCGTCTGACGGCCTCGGCCGAATCTCTGCCTCCCAGCGCGCTTGGTCCTCCACCCGCAGGCTCCCCCAGCCCCTTGCCAAGCGGGTTTTCCGCCCCAGCCCAGCAGGGCCCTCATTGCCTTCCCCTCGCCTGGCCAGCCGGGCTCCTTGAGCAACCCGGCTGCCTCGTGCCGAGAAGCACACTGCCAGGCAGGGGCCACGTGGCGCAGGGCAACACGCCACCGCCCGGCCCTGGCGAGGGAAAGCAGCGGGCGCTCCCTGGACAGCGGTCTCGGCCCTGCCACCAGGGAAGCGGCTGCCCAGCTCCGGAGCCGAGCCACACCTGACCGGCTGGAAAGGAAGGGTGTGTAGCATTGGTGTTGTGTGTGCGATTTCTTGGCGCGCGGCGCAGGGTCTCTTTTGGCCGGCCCCGATTTTTTTTTTTTCAGAGGGGAATATCATGCCTGCTTCTTGCAGACAGCTGGTCATTTGTGGGATGGAAGGATGGAAGGATTAAATATTAAACAGAGATCTAAGCTAGAACTAAAGAGACATTTCCTGACAGTGAGAATAATTTATCAGTGGAAGAGCTTGGCTCCAGAAGTTGTGGGTGCTCCATCAGTGGAGGTTTTCAAGAAGAGATTGGACAGCTACTTGTCTGCTATAGGATCTCCTACTTGAGCAGAGTTGGACTAGAAGACCTCCAAGGTCCCTTCCAACTCTATTCTGTGTTCTTAAGATTCAGTAGCATTCTTTGTTGTAACGTAAAATGGGTTGCTACAATCCTTTCGGTTGCCGTCGTGCAGATTAAATCGAGGAGGTTGACTGCAAAGTCTTCTTGGCTACTCCAAATCTTAGGGATATCATTTTTTTCCCCCATAAATTCCAACCATATAATGTAAAATTCTCTAAATCTTTAGGGCAGCTGGAACCCACCGAAAAGCATGGAGACACCCATCCAAAATTGTGGTGCGCTTTGAATGGAGGGAAGGTTGTGGTCTTTGATGCCTCAACGTGGTCTCTACAGCATTCTTTTAAAGTGGGGAACTCTAAACTGGTAGGTGACATTGACAATGGACTTCTCATAGAAATTTTTCAAATCATACTTAGTGTGATGACCCAGAGTGTAACACAAACGTAATAAAATCCAAAACGTAAATAAATGTCCTTTAATGCCTCCAACTTGGCCCCACTGTTCAATCATTTTCAGTTGGAGATACAACTTATTCAAAAATAGTCTTCAAAAGAAAGCAATACAGTCCAAACTTAATGAGCAGATAGAGGTGAAATAAAAAACCAAAACAAACTACAATGATGAAATTTCCACAACGGACCGGGATAAGTAATTACCAAATTCAAGGAGATAACAAGGCACGATCTGTTGGAAGGACACCAGCCAAGATAACTTCAGCCCAGAATAAAATACTCTGCTTCTGGCAACGCTATGTTTTAACAATCACTCTTATATACTGTTCTCCCCAGCTGCAACCAATGAGGGGGATCATGGCCGCTTCCTCTCTCATAAGCCAAATTGTTTCCTTCTCCGTTCCTCCCTGCGTGTCCTAGGATTAAGAGGGGAGAGCCTGGTTCTTCCTCTGACTGCCCAGTCGGCTTCTGCCCTTCCTCAGCCTCCTCCACAACACCCAGAGCCAGACCTCCATTCCCTGTCAGCTGTTCCTCCTCTCCCTCAGAGTCCGACTCTAATAAGGACCTCTTTCCAAGTCTGCGGAGATTTTTGGTCATCCAGGTCGTGATTGTCCCAGAGGTGGTTTTTTTTTCCAAGAGGCAACTGGAAGACATTTCACTTCTCCTTCAAGAAGCTTCATCCATTCTGAAGGACTGAACTTCATGAACGGAAGCTTCTTGGATGAGAAGCGAAACGTCTTCAAGGGAAAACACAGAAAGTCCAGTTGTTTTTTGGAAAAGCACCTTTGGGGCTTTCAAACTTCTCAAATATCTCACTCCAGTTTGATGGCTTTCTTTTCATTTGTTTTAGCAGATAAGGCTCTGTGTCCTTGGCATTAGCCTGCTTGTTTTTATCAGTAGTTCAACGTCCCACACTCTCAGCAAGTTTAAGATACGTCGACTTCAATTCTCAAATTTTCCCAGGCTGGCTAATTCTGAGAATTGAAATCCACACATCTTAAAGTTGCTGAAGTCGGGAAATGTAATAACATTAGAACTTCTCCAGTTGATAGCAGGTTGCTGATTGGTAGCCAAACTCAGGGATAGGCGGGCAATTTCCTGGGAAATGTGTCTTTCCATACGGTAGTCTTCCTCATTAAATAGAGGAGGAGCTCTTTTCTCACAATCAGGAGGCCATGAATAAAACTCCGCATTGGTGACAGGAAGGGCATCTGGCCAGTAAACGCTCGCTCCATTCAGTTGCCCCGACTTCGCCCCGCAAGGTATTATGGGGTCATTAAAAGAGGATGAGCCTTATTTAATGACCCAGGAGAGGAAGGACCACGTCATTAAACAAGGAAGACCACATGACCCAGGAGAGGAAGGACCACGTGTCCAGCTTCTTCAGAAGAAAACCATGTTTGGGATTTCCCTCTCTCTGAAAAAAATAAAATAAAATCATATTAAAGCAATTACTTGTGCTGCTCATAATTAGTGGAAGTTTCTGCTCTGGAGAATACTCCACCTTTTATTTTAGATAGATTAGCTGCTGAAGAATTGCTAATTAATTTCTGATTTCACGCCAAGCTGTGAATGACAGTTTACAAGATACAGAGGTTATGTTTGCACAATACCTGCAATTTAGGGATATCGAGTCCAATCAGTCGCTGACTCCTATTTTATCACTTCCTCCTATCATACGAAGCTTTGATCTATTTTAATATAATATATTTGAGTAACTAAAGTTTTATCCCGCCTGCCTCTCGGGACTGTGTATGAGTTGGTTGGCCGTATAATTAAACCATTTAATTAATAAACTAATATCCTGAAATAATTAATACACCCCGTGGATTTTTTGTAAATAAAAGGTGGAAAAAGTGACATACAATAAGTTCTTGAGAAGTTTTGCATTACATGGCTCTTTCTTTCTCTCTTTCTTTCTTTCCTTTTTCTTTTCTTCCTCCTCCTCCTTCTCCTCTTCTACTTCATCTTCCTCCTCCTCCTTTTCTCTCTCTCTTTTCCTTCCTTCCTCCCTTCCTTCCTTCTTTTCTTTTTTCTTTTTTCCTCCTCCTCCTCCTTCCTTTTCTCTCTTTTTTTCTTTTCCTTTCTTCAGAAATGTATGATCATGGCAGAACAAAGTCAAGTTTGGATCGGCTCTGCAGATTCCGTCATCTACTTGATCAACACCTACAGCATGTCTTGCAATAAGCAACTGAATGACCATCGCCGTGAAATTGTGGACATTGTTGTGGATACCAGAGAGAGTCTACCTAGGTGGGTAGAGGATCTGGTTCCAAGGTTATGACGGATTCCCCCCCTCCCCCATGGTCGTTGTACTTGCACTTTGGGCTCTTGACAGCCAGCTCACATTGACAGCTGTTTCCAGCACCCTGCGGCCACGTGACCATGTTTTATGCCTGTTCTGACCAAGGCTTCCTGAGACCGTAATTAAGCACACAGTTAAAACAACTCCTGTTTTATTTCAGCGCTGGGAATTATGTTTGTTCCCAGTCCATAATGAGTCCCAAATGGTCCCTCGAGATAAGCAACCACCTTTATCTCCTTTGAACTGCTGCCAACAACTAAAGTGCCAAATTAACTGTAAAAAACCAACCGAAGTACAAAGTCCACACACCGCTTCAAGGTTTAATCCGAACAGAGTGAGCGACATTGCTTCCTGCAAAGGCTCCTGTCCCTTTGCACTTCCTTTATATCTTAGGGGAGGGGCAATCACCTCCCAGCCTTACTCCCGAATCGCCCCTTTTGTCTTAACTGCTCTTGCCTTCTAGCAGCTCTGTGCACATGCACACTAGGAACAAGCTCCCCTTGTTCCTCTGCCTCGCTGCTGCCAGACTCTGGAGACTCCGGAGTTAGCACACTGCTCCCAGATGGTCCTGGCCCCATCTCTGCATCGGACGCAGGACCCTCGTCCGAGTCCTCTACAGACTCCTGGACTGGTCCCTGTTCTTCCCCACTGTCCGATTCCACAGCCATCTGCACAGGCTGCCGCCAAACCACAATGCCATTTCTCCCAGCAGTGGGATGCTACCTGTTCTACTACCGGTTAGATGATCACCCACACGCACGGGCGCCTAATGCGCGTGTACCTAACGCGTGGGCACAGCTTTCCCCACGCCACCTGAGGCCTGCAGTGCCAATCAGCTGAGAGTGGAAAGAAGAGAAAAGCGCAAGGGCGGGTGGAAGGGCCGATCCTATGCTTTTCTCTCTCCTCTCAGCTGATCGCCGGAGGATTTTTTTTTTTTAATAAAAGTTTTATTTAAGTTTTCACAAAACATACAAACACAAATAAAATATCTTTTTTTGAGAACAGTGTGCTCCCGGGTTATCACTTCTCCGTACGGACATAAACTCAATACATATTTATCTTACACATTCTAATCCATATCTTACAACTATTTTCGCAATTTGTTCAATAGTTTTAACCTTTCTTTACTTCCTGTGCCCTTATTTTAAATGATCTCATCCCTTTCTTAATTCAATTACAAATCTTTTTCTAATTTTTTTTAAATATTTCTAATCAATGTATACTTTTGTCTGTCCTGTTTACAATTTCATATTATCTTTTCTCATAAAACAAATTTTCCTCTGTAATTACTAGACTGGAGTGTTAACACCTTTGCATCTTTTTTCAAATCCTGTTTATTGTGGAGGATTTTTTTCCTCCTCTCAGCTGATCCCCGGAGGCTTTTTTTTACTACTGGTTCAGGTGAACCGGGCTGAACCGGTAACACACCACCACTGATTCGCGCCCCCTCCTCCCCCAAGCACCATTTCCTTCTGGATTTGGGGGCCAAACCTCCCCATAGCAAACCACAACCACTACAAAAACAGCCCTAGAATTGGGTCGGTCTTATAGGTAACCCATTAGGGTCGTAACTCAAGAACTACCTGTGCTGATTTGCGCATGCGTTTTGTAAGAAGCATGTTTCTTAATTCCTTCAAGCAGCGAGGTGTATTCCTGCAGTGTGGACGGCACCGTCATTGCCTGGAACATCAGCTCTCTGAAAGTGAACCGTCGGTTCCAGCTGCCCTTGGAAACAGTGACTTCGATCCAGTTCTACAAGAATCGTCTTTGGTGCTGTGAGTGTCCTGCGTCGCCCGCCCGATTATCTTCTGAAATGCTTCCTACTTTAATCTCAGTCCTTTCTCTCTTTCTGTATCGTTCCTGGGGTAGCCCGAGCAACCCTAAAAAGTCAAGGTGGCAGCAGTTATAGGTTAAACCAGTCAAGCAGAATAGAGCTGGAAGGGATCTCTGGAGGTCTTCTAGTCCAACCCTCTGCTCAAGCAGGAGACTCTATATGCCATTTCAGACAAGTGGCTGCCCAGTCTCTTTTTAAAACTCTCCAGTGATGAAGCACCTACAACTTCTCGAGGTAAAGCTGTTCCACTGGTTGATTGTCCTCACTCTTAGGAAGTTTCTCCTTAATTCCAGGTTGCTTCTCTCCTTGATTGGTTTCAATAGATTGTTTTTTGTCCCGCCTTCTGGTGCTTCGGAGAATAAGTTGCTCCCCTCTTCTTGGGGCAGCCCCTCAAGTACTAGAATGCTGCAGTCCGTCCGTCCATCCATCCATCCATCCATCTCTATCTATCTGTCTATCTGTCTGTCTATCTGTCTGTCTGTCTGTCTGTCTGTCTATCTATCTATGTATCTATCTATCTATCTATCTATCTATCTATCTATCTATATCTCTCTGTATCATCTATATCTATTTATATCTATTTATCTCTATATCTCTATATCTCTATATCTCTATATCTATCACCTATCACTCTCTCTAAATAGATAGATAGATAGATAGGTAGGTATCTATCTATCTCACTATATCTATCATCTAACTATATTTATATCTATTTATATCTATTTATCTCTATATCTCTATATCTATCACCTATCACTCTAGATAGATAAATAGATAGATAGATATAGATCTATCTATCTAACTATCTATCTATCTATCTATCTATCTATCTATCTATCTATCTATCTATATCGCTATTTCTATCATCTTATATCTATTTATCTATGTCTATTTATCTCTATCTCTATCTCTATATCACTATATCTATCACCTATCGCTCTAGATAGATAGGTGATAGATCAATAAATCTATCTACCTACCTACCTACCTACCTACCTACCTACCTACCTATCTATCTAATCATCTACACCTATCCATCTACCTATCCAAATACAGAATGACAGAGCTGGAAGGGGCCTTGGAGTTCTTCTAGTCCAACCCGCTGCTTAGGCAGGAAATTCTGGCCTATACCATTTCAGGCAAATGGCTGTCCAATCTCTTCTTAAAAACTTTGAGTGTTGGAGCATTCACAACTTCTGAAGTCAAGGCTGTTCCCCTGGTTAATTGTCCTCCCTGTTAGGAAGTTTCTCCTTCATTCAAGGTTGCTTCTCTCCTTGATTAGTTTCCATCCATTGTTTCTTGTCCTGCCTTCTGGTTCTTTGAATAGCTTGACTGCCTCTTCTTTGGGGCAGCCCCTCAAAATATTGGGAGACTTCTATAATGTCCCCCCGCCCCCCCAATCCTTCTTTTCTGTAGACTAGCCAGGGGGATGGCGGCATTGGTCGTAAGGCTGAAAAATACTCCTAAGTCCCCCCCTTTTTTTCAGTGCCACTGTAACTTCAAACGGTCACTAAATGAACAGTTGTAACTCGAGGGCCACCTGAATTAATACCATATTTACCCTTTAAAGCCTTCTTGCTCTCCTTTTTCCTCGTGCTGCGGTCTCTTTCGATGGCGTTGCTTCCGGTCCTAAACTCCGCGTTGTCTCTTTGCTTTAAGGTATACAAGACTACATTGTTGTGGTCAGCACAAACGGGCTGGTTCGCCAGAAGGTGAAACTGGAAAATGTGCCGTTGGAACCCCTCACACCTCTGCTCTGTTTCCAGTTGTTTCCTGAGGTAAACTGTTCCTAGCAGGTAGTCCCCGATTATGGCCACAATGGAGGCTGATTTTTTATTTTTTTTTGCTGCTAAGCGAGATAGTTGTTAAGTGAACTTTGCCCTGTTTTACGACTTTTCCTGCCACAGCTGGTCAGTGAACCCCTGCAGTTGTTAAGTGAGTAACCCCAGTTGTTAAGTGAATCTGGCTTCCCCGTTGTCGGAAAGTGGCAAAAAGTGGTCACAGAACACCGCAACCGTCATAAATACGAGTCACTTGCCGAGTTGGGAAACACAGTCGTTGAGTGAATCTGGCTTCCCCATTGGCTTCGTTTGTCAGAAGGGTTGCCAGAAGGGACCAGGTGACCCCCAGTACGATGCTGCAACCGTCATAAATACGAATCCGTTGCCAAGCATCTGAATTTTGGGTATCACGTCACCGCGGGGGATACCGCAATGGTTGGAAGGTTGAAAAACAGCCATCAGTCACCTTTTTTTTTTTCGGAGCTTGAATGGTTGTTAAATGAATCATTTTAAACCGAGGGCTACTTGTAAATTCTAGATGGGCAGCTGTGGCAGCTTCAAGCAAAATCCACCCTCCGGAATATTCTACCCCATTGTCTGATGTTGTGTCAGAGTGTTTGCAGTGTGACTACTATTGTGAGACAACCCAGGAGCAAAACACAATACACAGAGGCTTTGCTTTTGAACAATGGTTTATATGCAAGACTGCTATATACATACATACACTATATGTGGTAGGCAAATGCCTGGCAATTAATCAATCTTCTTTAGTCTACACAGAGAACTACAATGCAGACAGAACCCAAGGAGAGAGAGAGAGATACGGCCTCTCATGGCTTCATTTATATAGACAGCTTCTTAAAGTGGCAATACCCACCCTCGGTCTTAAAGCAGCAATAACCATGCCGATTCATCCTCACTGCAGCAGCCTTACAGCAGCTGGTTAGCTATTAAATCTCAATACCTCAGCATGTCTCTTGCTTTTCTTTATTTTGGCTTCAGAGGGACGAAGTCTGGGCTTCGTGGGCCGGCAGCTGTGAGCTGTTGATCTGGAATATGGAGGATTTTTCCACCCCCTTACAGAAGATGAGCCTGCAAGACTGTTCAGAGATCACCTGCATGATAAAAGTGAAAAACCAGGTACACTGAGCACATAGGAGGAATAATTCTTGCTCGTTGGTTGTAGGGATTTTGGCCAGTATAGGAATTTGGGTAAACAAAAGTCCAACAATTTACTTAAAATGAGAGCCAGTTTGGTCTAGGGGTTAAGACATCAGGCTAGAAATCGGGAGATGGTGAGTTCTAGTCCCTCCTTAGCTATGAAAGCCAGTCGGGTGACTGTGAGCCAATCACCAGGAGATGCTGAGTTCGAGTTCTGCCTTAGGCATGGAAGATGAATGGTTGACTTTAGGCCAGTCACCAGGAGACAGTGAGTTCGAGTTCTGCCTTAGGCATGAAAGCCAGTTGGGTGACTCTGGGCCAGTCACTCTCAGCCCAACCCACCTCACAGGGTTGTTGTTTGTTGGGAAAACAGGAGGAGCAAGGAAGAACATTAAATATATTTTCTGCCTTGAGTATTTATAAAAGCGATAAAGGGCCAATTTTTAAAAAAACTGTAAAAATGACAAGTGTTCAAAAGGACAGGATGGACAAGAATCTGGTCTCATAGACCATTTATAGCCTATTTTATTCATTAAGAGAAAAAAAAATATTACTGCACCTAAGCTCCTGGCCCAAAGGAAGAAAGTGACAACCAAACTGAACATTTAATGAAAATTTTATAATAAATCATTTATTATGAGGTTTCTGATGTGCCAGGGGTCTCCAGCCTTGGCAGCTTTTAGTTGGAGAACTTCAACTCCAAGAGAACTTCAACTCCAAGAATTCATGAAAGCAAAGCTGGATGGGGAATTCTGGGAGTTAAAGTCTGCCAGGCTTAAAGTTGCCAAGGTTGGAGACCCCTGCTCCATAGAACTGTGATTTTATATATGGCTTTTACCACTAGAGAGCAGTGAATGACCATTGTACCTACATTGCATTCCATTACATTATATCTGCAGGTGTAAAACCAGGAATATCTACTGAGATTTTTTTCTCATCGTAAGGTGCCTCTAATATAAGGGCATGGCATAAAATTATACCTCTAATTGTCTAGTCCAGTGTTTTTTTCAAACTTGGTAACTTTAATATGTGCGGGCTTCAACTCCCTAAATTCATGAAAGGATGGCTGGCTGGGGAATTCTTCCTAGTTGAAGTCCTACACATCTTAAATGTTACCAAGTTTGAAAAAATACCACTGTAATCTCAGAGTTTAAATAAGGTGTATGCCATTTGTAGCCTGATGTCTTTTTAAAATAACTGTACCTCTGGTGAAAATCAGGTATGACTTGTTGATCCTCACTTTTTACCATTATTCTGTTGCTTTAAAAAAAATATCCCGTTTTCTGCTGATGGTGTTGTAATAAACTTGGTAATAGCCATAGAGAGATGGATGGATGGATGGATGGATGGATGGATGGATGGATAGCAAATTAAAACATCTACTTTGCATGGATGGATGTTAGAGCCACAAGGGATCCATGTTCAAAGCAGAAAATGTGACCTGGAGTATCAGTGTCATAATGCCTGTGAGATCAATCTTCAGTAGAGGCAGATATTTCTCTCTCTGGGCCCACTGAGAATATATCTGCTGAAATAAAAAACCTCCACATTGGCGACAGGAAGGGCATCCAGCCAGTAAACACTCAGCTCCATTCAGTTGCCCAGACTCCACCCCGCAAGGGATTATGGGGGGGGGGGGCATCGTTAAAAGAGGATGATGGTTTATGTTGTAATGCCGGAGAAAAACATTCCTTTTTCTTAGGCGTGTGCATTTGTTGCAAAGAAAGAACAGACGTAACAGACGAATCCCATCTGCCTTCCGAGTCTTCCTTTCCCCAAACCCTGTTCTAAAAGTTTGATTTCCTTTCCAGATGTGGATTGGTGGCCGAGGACTCTCCCAGGGCAAGGTCAAAGGAAAAGTCTACGTGTTGGACACGGAAAGGAAATTGGTGGAAAAAGAGTTGGTTGGACACACGGATACGGTGAAGTCCTTGTGCTCCGCCGAGGATCGCTACGTTCTGAGTGGAGGTGGAAAGGAAGAAGGGAAGATAGCGATCTGGAAGGTGGAAGAGAGTTTGGGCTTCCATTTCGTTTAATATCGTTTTAAAAACCCGAACGGAGAAGTTCATGTTCCTTTTTAATTTATTTCCACCCCTTTCAACCACAAACCGCCTCCTGAGAAGAGAGGGTAACTAGGGAATCCCTGGAAATTCCTTAATGTAGGAAGTCCTCGACTTTAACGAAGGTAATCGAACCTGGAACTACAGCCATAAATCACGCCAGTTGTTAAGCAGATCATCTTAGGACCAAACTGATTTTATGACTTTTGTTGTGGTTGTCGTGGTTGTTAAGTGAACTTGTTTGCAATGAGTGGGGTGGGTCGTTGTTTTTTTTGCCAGAACCTGGAAGTAACCATGTTTTAATTCAGGGTCACATGAAACCCAGGATGCTGCAACAGCCACAAATGTGGGCCAATCGCCAAGTGCTGAAAATGCAATGTCATGACTGCGGGGCGGGGCTAGATGTCGAAATGTTGAGTTGGGTTCCTTTTGGGAGTCTGTTGTAACTTCAGATGGTTGCTTCAAACGAGCCTTGGTGGCCCAGTGGTTAGAGTGCGGTACTGCAGGCTACTTCTGCTTGGCTGCTGCCTGCCTGCAATTTGGCAGTTCGAATCTTAGCAGGCTCCAGGTTGACTCAGCCTTCCCTCCTTCTGAGGTGGGTAAAATGAGGACCCACAATTCTTGGGGGCAAGAGGCTGACTCTGTAAACCACTCAGAAAGGGCTGGAAAGCACTGTTAAGTGTTTGTCAGGATTCCGGCAGTGACCCCCAATTAAATCATGAGTCTCGAGCCAAACTTCCAAAACTTCCAAAGGGATTTATTGGGAGTTAACATGCTGGCACTGCCTGGGTATAGCCGACTCTGAGACACATCATTCATTGTCACCCTTGAGCCTGGTTTTCCCCACACCCCCTGGGTGTATCGGAATTCATATTCTCCAATGGGACTCATCCATAGCCAAGAGTCCTCAATCATGCTCTCTAGTTAGAATTTTGCGCGGCAGAAACTTCAGTCACCTAGTTACTATGTTTGGAAAACTGTGTATGGAATGCACTTTCGATTTCCAAGCTGCCGCACTGTTCTTTCAAACCCCTCCCCCCCCCTTTCAGTTGGCAACTCTAAAAAGACCATAAAAATATTTTATGAGTCGACAGCCGTATATAAGTCGAAGTACTATCGCTATCTAAGCTGTGGTTGCACAGTGGTTAGAATGCAGTATTGCAGGCAAACTCTGCCAACTGCCAACAGTTCGATCCTGACCGGCTCAAGATGACTCAGCCTTCCATCCTTCCAAGGTGGGTAAAATGAGGACCCAGATTGTTGGGGGAAAATAGGCTGACTCTATAAACCGCTTAGAGAGGGCTCTAAAAGCACCGTGAAGCGGTATATAAGTCTAAGTGCTCTTGCTAAGTGTCCGGTTTTTAAGCGAGGACTAGCTGTATCAAACTCTCCTGAACCTTCATTTCAGAATCAGTGGGGTAAAGGAAAGATATGTTAAGTGAGTTTTGCCCTATTTTACGATTTTTCTTTGCCACGGCTGTTAAGCGAATCCCCGCAGTTGTTAAATCAGCAACCCTGGTTGTTGAGTGAATCCGGCTTCCCCCCTGGACTTCGCTTGTCAAAAGACCCTGCGACCATCGTAAATATGAATCAGTTGTCAAGCGTCTCAGTTTTGAACCGTGGGGATGCTGCAACAGGTGTAGGTGTGAAAAACGGTCACGTGAAGTTGTGAAGTTGTGAAGACTAGAAGACCTCCGAGTTCCCTTCCAACTCTGTTATTCTATGCTATTCTATACTTGTTTCACTGCCGTTGTAACTTTCAGCGGTCACTAAATTGTAAGTCGGGGACTGCCTGTCACCTACCTGGTTTCAGAATTTGGACCTCTGGGCTTCCTGAAAAGCGAAACTATTCCCGGTCCGATTGCACCAATTAAGCAATGGGTGTTAAATTTTGATTTTGCAAAATTTAAAATAAGGTGCACGGGAGGCGCCATCGGAGACGCCCACTCGGCTGCGTCTGGTGCCCTGCTTGGAGGGGCTGCAGAGAAACTCTTATGCATATAAAGAGTTGCTTTGCCCTGCAAAGAACCGCACAATGCCCCCCTACACACACCCAGATCCTGGTTTTTCCCCAGTGGTTCTCTGCTCTTAAACTTTGTTAACAGATTATTAACAGAGCAATCAACTCATGGAACAGGAATTGCCTTCAGAAGTTGTGGGAGCTTCAATGCTGGAAGCTTTCAAGGAGAGATTGGACTGCCATCTATCAGAAATGGTGTAGGGCAAAGGTCTTCAAACTTGGCAAGTTTAAGACTTGTGGATTTCAGCTCCCAAAATTCCTGAGCTAACATGACTGGAGGAGGAATTCCGGAAGTTGAAATCCAGAAGTCTTAAAGCTGCCAAGTTTGAAGACCCCTGGTATAGGGTCTCCTTCTTGGGCGGGAGGTTGGACTAGATGACCTACAAGGTCCCTTCCAACTCCGTTAATCTGTATATCTGTATTTCTAAGCAGGATTTCCAGATTAACAGAGTTGGAAGGGACCTGGTAGGTCATCTAGTCCAACCCCCAGCCCCGGGGCTGCCCAAGCAGGAGGCCCTACACAGGGGTGTCAAACTCGTGTCATCACGGCGGCGTCTCATGACATATCGGGACTTTTTTTTCCCTTTTTCTAAATCGGGCGTGGGAGTAGCCAGCGCATGATGCATCTGGGCCCCGGGCCGCGAGTTTGACAGCACTGCCCTACGCCATTACTGACAGATGGCTAAATTCTACTAATATAGTCACTATGTTGAAGAACGAAATAAGATTGATTTGGCATGATCTGCTTTCAACAAACTTTCCTTGTTTCTAGATGTTGGCAGATCTGGTTTTTAAAAATCATTATTAAATAAGAATTAGTATTATTATCTTTTGCAGTATCTTCCCAGGTATTGATGTTAGTCTGATTGGTCTGTAGTTTCCTGGGTCTGTTTTTTTTCCCCCTTTTTTGAAGATGGCAAAAAAAATTATAAGACGGTCTTATTTTCAGGGAAACACGGGTAGTATAATTGGAACTTAGCAGCGTCCCAATTCTTGAAGCAACCCGAGTGTCAGGTGAGCTGGCCTCAATCCACGTTTCTCTAACTATTCTATTTGCCTGAGAAAACCCATTGAAGAGGGGGAAATTGTTATGACTCCCCTTCGAAATTCAAACAAACAAAACAGAAAGCAGCCGTTTCACAATTAAATCAAACGGAAAGAAGTCTTACAAGATAACGGCTGGCAGAAACCACAGCATAAATCTTACTCTGTCCGGCAAACCAGTCCTGGCAATAAATCCTCAGCCTCAGAGCTCTTTGCTGTAACGTCCTCACTCAAATAGTCATTTTGTTCCTGGCGAAATGCACCAGCTCAGCTGTGTCCTTTTATACCCATTAAGGCAACGTGCTAATTAACTGGCTTGCCCTTCAGATTAACGTTTCCTGGTTCTGACGTCAATCCACGATCTAACAGTCATCAGAGTCAAAACTCCCAACAGGACCGATCCTTCCAATCACAACAGAAATAATCTTGGGATAAGGATTCTATCTGTGTGATGGTTGGGAATTGGGAAAACAGGAGCCTTGGGAAGTGTCAATAAAAATTGCTTGCTCAAAATGCAAACCGAACCAAGGGTACCTTCTATCATATGTGTCATACCCGGAAGCCCAAAAATTCTGGACTAAAATATGGAATTGGATACAAAAAATAGTGGAAGATCGAACAGAGTTTAAACCGGAATTGTTCTTGTTGGGAATAATTAAAGGGAAATATGGGAAAAAGATTAAATATATTTTACTATATATATTGACAGCAACAAGGATAGCATTCGCACAATGCTGGAAACAAAATAATACGCCCTCAGAGGAATTAGTAATCCAAAATTTTTTAGATTGTGCTGAAATGGATAAACTGATGTTAACATTAAAAGATAAAGAAGAGTCGGAATATTACAAAATTTGGGATAATTGGTATAAATGGTTGAATAATAGAAATAAAGATAACGGAGATAAGAAAATTACAGATACATATATGAATGTATATAAATGTAGATATTTATATGAGATTGGTTTATATAATAATGATGACACAGTACTGTTAATATTAAGGTTAAGATGTGTAAAAGGTAAAAAAAAAGAACAGTAAAAATTATTGAATAAAAACAGAAAAGAAAATTGCTCGCTCAGCAACAAAAAAAAAGCCCTGTTGAAGAGAGCCCGTAACACAACAGGTCCTCTCAGCCACCTGAGAGTTTGGCACAAGGCGCTCTTTCTCACAACGGGGCTTTTCCTTGTGCGCCTACCATTATTCAGCCTTTTCCCAAGTTCTCTGGTCTCAGGATTCTGGCAATCACGGAGCCGGGTTTCCGAGAATTTATAAGCAATGACAAGCCTTGTTGACTTTGCTGATGCTCAGTCCCAGGGCCAAATCTGGCTGCTGACCTGTGCCTGGAGATGGGCTGACCTCCGCTGCTAACATGGTCCAGGGCAGACGAGCCGGTTTGCAGGAACGGAAAAAAAATATGACATTTTAAAGAAAGAGAAGAATGATTGTTTGAGCAGGGTGGAAAGGAGCTGGAAATCCTGAACTTCGCCGGGCTTTTTAAAATATGTCCTTTTTGCCAAATAATTTTTTTTTTTTTTGAGGGTGGGGTGCAGGAAAGTAACTTCTCTAAGTTTCTAGCTGTCTGTTGCGGAATTAGGTATGTGTAATGAAAAGAAGGACTAGGGGTGACATGATGGAAGTCTTCCAATATCTCAGGGGCTGCCCCAGAGAAGAGGGAGTCAAGCTATTCTCCAAAGCATCTGAAGGCAGGACAAGAAGCAATGGATGGAAACTAGTGGAGAGAAGCAAATTAGAACTAAGGAGAAACTTCCTAACTGGGAGGACAATTAACCAATGGAACAGCTCACCTTCAGAAGTTGTGGGTGCTCCAACATTGGAGGTTTTCCAAAAGAGACTGGACATCCACTTGTCTGAAATGAAAAGAGATAGGATCCCCTGCTTGAGCACGGGGTCAG